CAAAATGGAGTGGTAACATTAACAACAATAATAAGATTACAAATAAATAAGAATTAATGCATTAGACTATAAGAATCTGGAAGAAAGAAAAAGAAAATCTCTGTTCTATGCTATTCCAAGCATACACACACACAGCTTGGTTAGCTGATGCCACGGCTGGAATACTACTGTTTACTAGTTAGACAGACTAAACAAGAAACGAATGACATGTTTGCTAGTTATTGCAATATTATAGAAAAAGTTCCCAAATGCCTTTCTTCCTGGCAAAGCATTCTTTTCTTGCCCATTCCCTTCCAGCTCACCTCTAACATTTCTGGAAAATTTCTAGGAGAATGGATAAAAGTCTTTTTTTCACATTTGCCTTCTCAGCTTAATCTGTCACAGTGCCAGGATGGATGGTGACTGTCCAAGTGCACTCCCAAGACAGCACCGCAGGCCTGAATAAGAGATGAAGGCTGGTCAACACCGCCCCCTCGTGCAGAGAGGTAGAGAAATCATTCCCTCTGGCTAACCAATCGATTTGCTGGAGGAAATTTCTTGGCTAAAACTCTATGGAAAATGGTTATTTGGAGAGTGAAATTCCCCAGAGCTTTTAGAATCAACTTTTTTTCATCATTTTAAACCTACTTATTGGGAAATCTCTCTGAAATATATTACACATAAAGAATAATCATACTGAGTCAATATTGCGTGAAAGAGTGTAACAGCATTAAATACATTATTCATCCCCTTGCCTTGTAAAGAGCACTCCGAATGCAATTTTAACAATTCTTTTTGGCTGTGAACCTCAGTTCATTTACTGTTTCATAGAGTAGATAGAACAAAATGCTTTTGCATGTTTATGACATTTTTGCAAGGTTTTTTTCATAATTCATGTTTGTTTGTTTTTTCTCTGTTACTTGTCAGTGGTCACTTTCTGATTTTGAGTTTGTCAGTGTGGCTTCCTTTAGCAACTTCCTTCCCTTTCTCATTTGCTGTGGAAATAGTAACTAGGATACCAAGCTGGTTAGAACTGTAAGTAAAAGGAGGTTAAACAGTCTCCCAATAAAGCCCTCTCCTACAAGTGGACAGTGTGAGATTTAAGACAAAACCAGAGTGACATTGCACACAGGACTGCCTGTTCCATTGGCATTTGTGACTGTTGACATCTATTTGGCTACTTAGAAGCTATTTTTACCTCTTTTCTATTTTGGTTCTGAATAGGTTAGTGTGAAATAGTTGTGTTTTGGCAAGATGAAATATTGCTGTATTTTTCAATGTGCCAAAACCTTGAAATGGGATAAAATTTCCTCAGTCCTGGGATTGGAGGGGGAAAAAAAGAAGAAAAGAAAAAAGCAAAAAAAAGAAAGAAAAGCCATGTCCCTTTCAACGCTTATGGCAACTCGATATAAAACCAGGGCTGCAACTTAAGTGTGTATTAATAGGAGAAAGCCCAAAGGGTGGCTCACCTGTATAGCAAAATACAATGAGCTATAAACCGTGTATACCATAGATACATACACTGATGAGAAACATGCTCATTGTTGTACTATCTAGTTTCTACACCCATAGAAAAATGCTTCTCTCTTCAGTCCCCCACAGACAGTTCTGAGAAGTATTTCATAAGGCCCCTCGGGAGGTGCCAGCAGGATCTAGCACCAGTCATCCATGGCATCGTTTCACTCATCCTGACATTAGCTGTCCCTCTTTCCCTGCTTCACTCCCCCAGTCCTTACCCCTGTTCCCTGCAATCACTGCCCCAAGTCAGTGCACACAAGCCTTTGTCTCAGGCTTTGTTTTTGAGAGAAGCCAGGTAAAGCTAGACCCTGTGGAGGGAGGAAATGATGTAGAGAGCCACTGTACCCATTTGCAATTGTGAAGAGCAGACCAAGAGAATGGCCAAAAAACTGACCCAGTACCATGGCATCATTGGGCTACAGAACCATCTACCTCTAGACATCTTGTTCCATGAAAATAATAGCCCCCCTAGTAAGTTGTTGACAGTTAGGTTTACTACTATTTGCAGCCAAAATTCTTCTTGGAAGTATTTTACGTAGAGCTGAAGGCAGAGGGATAAACCCTCTGTGAGGGGAAGCCTAGGGGGGTCGGTCACCAGAGTTCCAGCTTATGGAGAATGCTGTTCTGAGAAGCAGACAAAAGACAGAGGGAGTGGGTCCCATGGTTTAAACTCTTCTGCCAGTGAATTCTTTTTGCCTAAAATAGTTGATGAAGATTTTCTATCACTTGCAAACAAAAGTCCTAATTTAAGTGTGAGCTCATTCTTATTTTACAAAAAATGTGGGTATGTGAGCGTATGTTCATCTAAGCACGGAAAAATATGAATGGATATACTGAATGGCTACCAGCAATTATTTCTGGGGAGAAATGGAATAGAGGGGAGTAAGGAGGATATATATATCATTTTTACTTTATTAACTTCTTAATATTTAAACTTGGTATAACCAGCTTGTATCATTTTTATACTTTCAAAAGACTAAAAACTGTAGAAACTCTGAGATAATGTGTTTTATGCTGTTGAGTTTGAGGTGTGTAGAAAGTCATCACAAACCTGAGAACCACTGTTCACAAAACACCCAACAAACCTCAGTCAGACAACCACAAATCCCAAGACCCAACACACACAGTAATAAGTGCCGAGTGAGGACCTGATGCTGGGAATCTGTCCAATTCGCCTCTGACCTTGACCCCCTACCCTACAAAACATGTAATTTCCATTATTTCTCCTATAATCCAACCCAATCAGCCCACGATCTAAGTTAAAAACAAACATAAAACAGTGTGCTTTCTATGCAAATGCAGCTTCAGAGCAAGCTCATCCATTGACCCCTTCCCAACCTAATGCACTTCTAGGCAGAAAAATCTAGAGTGGCCACAGATCCAGAAATCAGTGTAAATAGCCAGGAGGGCTAAAGATGGAAAGTATGCTGGGCTCCCCTAAGCACACAGGCTGATAGGAAGGAGCCAGGACCAGAGAGGATGGGGTCACGGAAGACGAAGACAGCTGGCTCAGCCACACGAGCCACTTGGTCGATGGAGCATAGCAGAAAATCACAGGGACATGACACTCTTAGGGTGGAGGTGGTATCAGCAAGTGGAGCACTGACAGCTGAAAGAAAAGCAGGTGACAGCTCTGCATGATGCCAGCAGGACCCCAAAATGTGGCTGGAGGGTACCAGGAGCAGAATACAGGGAGAGGACCAGCAAGATCTTTCTTGTGTGAGGCTGGGGGTTGGGAGGCAGCATCTAATGACAGATAAGACCCGGAATTCCAGGCAGATACTGAGGCAGAAATTCAGAGGTATGAATAGAAAGAGCTGCATACACATACTTATTACATGCTAAATGCTTTACACTCATATCTCACTTAATTCTCCCAAATACCTTGTGAAGAGGGAACTTTTACCTTGCCCGTTTCTGAGATGAAGAAACTAAGGTAGACGGAAGATATGTGATTTGCTCAGAGCCGCGCAGCTGGTGTATCAGTCAGCTTGGGCTGTTGTAACAGAATACCACAGACTGGGTGATTTCAACAACAGAATTTATTTTCTCAGCGTACTGGTGTCTCAGTGTCCAAGATTGAGATGCCGGCAAGGTTGATTTCTGGTGAAGGCTCTCTTCCTGGCTTGCAGATGAATGCCTTTCTGCTGTGCCCTCACCTGGGCTTTCTTCGGTGCACATGCAGAGATCTCTGGTATCTCTTCCTCTTCTTAGAAAGACCTATCAGGTTAGGGTCCCACCCTCTGATTTCATTTAACCTTAATTACCTTCTTAGAGGCTCTATCTCCAAATACAGTCACCTTGGGAGTTAGGGCTTCAACATACAAATTTTGGGGGAAGGGGACAAAATTCAGTCCATAAGTGCTAGTCAGACACAAACACAGACAAGTATGAGTCTGGAGCCTAATACTCTTTCTATATTTTTATATTTTATTGAGGGATAACTTAGAGATTATTCAGTGAGTTTAGTGAGTTTTGAACGAATGCATACATCCATGTGACCCACATTTTTAGCAAGAACTACACAGTACTCTTAACCATTACACTCTACCAGACTATGTGTTGACATAAAGTGATGCCACTAGTAGATTTCATGGCAGCCAGAAGTCACCCCTGGCACTGTAGACATCATGTTCACAAGCAGTAAGACTTGATTCTGAGCTCCCTCCCATACACACCATGTGGGGCTCCTCCCTGTCTGGGCCAGCCCTCACCCTCTGCTGCTCTGCTCTGGATTCAAGGAGACTGACTCTTGTGAACCATGTTTCCCGGACTCTTTCTCCCTCTCCCTCTCCCTCTCTGTATAAGGCAGAGTCTCTGCCATCTCGTCTATGGCTCTAGCTCCCATCAGACAGTCCCATAATGGTTTTCCACCAGATGACCCAAGTGCCTGCTCCACTTTGGTAAAAAAGCACCTACTCCCTGTTGATCTGCAGTTCAGAACTATCAGTAGCTTCCTGCTGTTACTATTCTTTGGGTTATCTCACCATCCATTCTTTGGCTTCTCAGCTCTTCCATTTCTTGTATAAACAGTTAACTGCATTAAATTCCCCCGTTTCAAATACTCATCATGGTTCCTCTTTTCCTGGTTACACTTTTATGGGACACTGATGGACTCCCTACTTGCCAGGACTGGCTCAGAAGCTGGGGCCGTTTTAGGCTCTGGGTGGAGTCCATGTACAGAGGCTGGAAGGTGGAGGACTCATCAGCAGAGATTTCTCCTTCAGAATATCAGAGATTGTATTTACATCTGTTGTCTACTTGTTGACATCTTGCTGGTCTGTCTTGTTAGCAAATTAGAACTTTCCTTCAATTCATGTGTTGCCCAGGGCTCACCTGTTTTTCAGGTGGACCTCTACAAGCTGTCAAGACTAGAGATGCTTTTATCACCCAGTTCTTCAGCTACTGTCAGGACACTAAGCTACTAATTGGATTTGTCGAACTGCCACATATTTTAAATAAATAAATAAATAAATAAATAGATAGATAGATAATAGATAAATAAACCGTGCATGTCTATATGAAGTGCTTGGGGAGAAAACAGTGACTTCAGAGTGCAAATTGGGACACTCCAAAATCAAGAATCCTTCAACAGCCTGTGGGTATTCCCTGGGATTCTTCCAACCAGCTGGGGTGTCAGGGAGGAAGCCTTTGGAGAGGCTTAAAAGAGGCAATGTGTCTGGTCAGCTCTAGCTCCTGTTTACAACAGGCTCTGGCTAACTGTAAAAGCCATACTGAATAGATCACCAGGACTGCCACAGAAGGACCTCCATCTCTAGTTTGGCTGCAAAACTAAGTCTTGTCTTCCAGGAGCCTTTGGCTTTAGAGGGAGAACCAGGAGGCAAACTGCACCCACTGGCACACTGCCCTGTATCCAGGGACTTCTCCAGAACTGCAATAGTTCTGAGTCGAGGTTCCTTTCCTCAGCTCGCACCACTGAAGCGACAGGCTGTTGGCCTGTCCTGATTGCAGGAGTAGAAGCCCTGCTGTCAGGGGGTAAAAGGAAACCAGAAAGTTCCTACTGCTCCTTCACTCTCTACGTGATAAATCACTTCAGCTGGGAGAAGTGTCACGAAAGGACCTGGCAGCTAATGGGAGAAATGTAACCCAAAAAAAGAAAGAAAGGAAGAAAGAATCCTGTTAGTCACAGAGCTTTTCATCTGAACCAGAGAACAGGCTCTTGCCTGTGGGAATAATAAAATCACAATCCTGTACTCCATTAGCTCCTCAAACAAAAGCAGCTCCCTAGAGTGTAACTCTTTGGGGCTTCTGAGTTGGGTTTAGTTTTCACTGGATAAAGGCATACATTAAAAGGAAAGACTGGGTACCCTTAAGGAAATCAAAAAAGTAAACGAGCTTGCTATTCAAACGAGGACAACACAGGCTGCAGGAAGCTCCGCCCCGTGGCCGATTCAGCAGCACCTGGTGAACAAGCAGCAGGCCTCCACCCAGGCTGGACTTCCCCACAGCGGAGGGGCAGCTGCAGAGGTCCAGTGGAATGCCAGGGCTGGCCTCAGACCTGGGAAAGCAGGGTCAGAAGGGAGGCTCGGAAGAGATACTTCATTCCAAAAAAAAAGTCACAACAGCTAAAAATTAAAGAGAAGTACCTCAATGCAGGCAGCTGGAGATATTTTAAGGGTAAAGAAATACTCTTTATGGAGAAGCGTTCAGGAAAAAAACATGAAGAGTGAATAAATATCATATTATAGGAACAAAATATTCTCTCCAAAATAAAAAGCTCATATGGAATCAGTTGTTTTAGTGTCACAGAAGCCCAGTGCGTGCCACCTTGGCAGCAGGTGTGTGAGGTGGAGAAACATGACTCAGTGTCCCTCTCTCACCATTCTTCATCCTCCCCACCCCCATCTCTCCCAGCTGCCGCCTCCTGCACCCTCTCCCTCCAAAGGCATCCAGGACTCTCAGAATTCTCTGAGAAGAGTGTCCCTGTAAATTATTCATAGTGCAGTGCTACTGACTTCCTATCCTCTCCTTCCCAGAAGTACCTGCTGTATAAGAATCTAGTGAAAATGAGCAATGCTTGGAACAAATAATGAATCACTCCTGGTAAAATTTCAGGCACCTGTAGAGATTTCATGGGGGGAGGAGTGTCTCTTACCCACATCTTATATGATACCACGTATAAGTACACTATAAACCTTACCTCTTTTACACCATGAATTCCCATAGTATGGGTGTGAGAACATTATTTTTAAAATGCTGACTTTCAGAAGTTGAGGTCACAACTTTCAATCAAAATAGGCATGTGTCTAAAGAAGGCCAGTAGAAAAATGTTTATAAATTTATTTCCACTTTGTGTTCTCCTCGTGTGTGAACTTTTACATTGATAAAGGTATAAAAAAATGTTTTCAATAACCAAAAAAAACCTTTCTAAAATCCTGTTTGGTCTTGTCACACTTCTTTCCTATCAAAGCACAAAAATATTTTCAAAGTGTTTTATTCATATCATACTCTAGTCCTGCTAGGGATAAAACACAGTGATTGACAGGTCTATGACCCTATTTACAATTATTAGGGAATTTCTGCTGTAACACTGACATTCTCAGTTCCAACTATGATAGACGATTCCCAGAGACAGACAATAATCCCCCTTGACTGCATGCTCTTTTTCAATATAACTCTGCTACTCTTTCCATCAATAGGTGGAGACTGCTTCCTCTCCCCTTGAATCTAGCTGGCTTTGAGACTCGCTTGACCCACAGAATTTGGTAGAAGACATTCAGTGTGATTTCTAGGCATCTTTATGGAGCTGCAAACCTCCATGTGAGGAAGTCCAAGCTGTACTGTTAGTTAGGTAGAGTCTCTTAGAGGATCCCGAGTGACCCACCTGACAGCCACCCCTAGACATGTGAGTGAGGCCATGTTGCATCCTCCAGCCCTAGTCATGACCAGCCAACACAGGCAGAGCAGAGGCAAGCCTTCTCCACTGAGTCCTACTCAAATTGCAGGTCTACAGAATCATAAGGAAATTACTGTTTCAAGCTACTGTGTTCTGGGGTAATTTGTTACCTAGAAGTAGATAACCAAAAATGACTAAATTGTGTACAGCTACTCAGATTTGGTACATCAAAGATGAGATATTTGACCTCAGAAAGCATAATCTGTCTTATTACAAAAATGTAAATGATCAAAGTTCAAATTATGCTCCAAATCAGAGACCACACCAACATCCATGCTCCCCTTCTTCTATGACAGTAGTCCTCAAAGTGTGGTCCTAGACCAGAAGTATCAACAACTCATGAGAACTTGTTGGAAATGCAGATTCTTGGCCTCCTACTGGAAGAGAAACTCTGGGGATGGGGCCCAGCAATCTGCATTTCAACCAATCTTGTGGGTGAGTCTGATGCATGCTGAAGTTTGAGAACTACTGTTCTATAGCAATAAAACCTCTGAACTGCATACCTGGCCACCTGGATAAAGACTAGGTAAGGTGGCTAGGTAAGGCTACACTACAACTAAGTTCTGACCAGCAAAAAGTAAGCAGAAATAGAAAAGGGGGTGTTCCCTTTTCTGTCTCTTTCACCTTTGTGCTTGTTGGAATTCAGATGTATTGGCTGGGGTTCCAAAAACTATCTTAGATGATGAGGTGATCCTGGGAAACAAAGCCATGTGAGCAGAGCAACAGGATGGAAGGAGCCCAGGACCCCGATACTATGATCTGCCAAATTAGTTCTGGACTGATTACCTGACTTCCTGAACATGAGAGAGAAATTCCTATCTTAAGCTTCTGTTTTTTTAATTTTTCTGCCCCTCACAGTTAAATCTAATCCCATCATTCTAATAAAGCAGTCACCGTTCCCCTCACCAGCTGAGATATTCTTTAATATAAGAATATTTTATTTTCTTCACTTGTCATAAGCTATCTTTTAGGTTGTTTATTTTTTCAATTACCTATTGTCTCCCTCTTTGACTGAAAGCTCCATGAGAGCAGTTTTGTTTTGTGTATCAGTGAATCTCCAGCATCCAATATACTTCTACTCTCACGATAGGGATTTGGAGGTTATTTACTGAATCAAATAGACAGATAGAAGGATGGATGCAGGCAAACCACATTTTTTCCACAGTCTTTAAGCAGTGGTAAAATGATCAAGCCTCAAATAAATCTTTCTTTTAAATACTGAATGTCCAGCAAAACTATCCCCCTACCATATCCTACCTCTGTTCCACAATGTAATCTGAATAGAAGCAATACTAATAATAACCAATACTTGTATATAGCTTAAAGTGTACCAAAGACAAATTCCAATAGAGGAGCATCCTACAATATACCTGACCAGTATTCCTCAAAACTGTCAAAATCATCAAAAACAGGAAAGTCTGAGGACCTGTCACAGAGAGTCTAAGAAGACATGACTAGTAAATGTAACCTAGTATCCTTGATGGGATCCTGGAACAGAAAAGGACATTAGGGAAAAACTAAGGAAATCTGAATGAACTACAGGCTTTAGTTAATATTATATCAATATGGGTTCAATAATTGTAACAAACATACCACACTAATGTAAGATGTTAATAACAAGGGAAACCAGGCATGGAATGGGGTGAGGGGAAGGGATATATGTATATATTCTCTGTACTATCTGCTCACTTCTGTAAATCTAAAACTGTTCTAAAAAAATTAAGTCTATTAAGAAAATAAATATGCAAAGACTGACATTAACTCTTACGACATATACGAGTTCTCATGAAGCCTGAGATAGGTACTACGGTGAGCCCCATTTTTCAGATATAAAAGAGTACACTAAGTTCAGTTTCCCTCAAGTTCTTGAGGCTTAGAGTATATGTTTCTCTGGATCAAATAAATTTGACTCAGTCATTTAAATAATGTGTATTGATTACTGCATGCCAGCCAGAGAACGAGGTTGGGTGATTCCATGGAAAGAGTCAAAATTAGGAAGGCAGAAAGAGCTTTGCATCTACCTACTGAAATTTAAAGGGCACAAGAAAACATTTTAAAGAGTGCACAAGTCTGAAGTGTGTTATATTTACATGTTGACAGCACATACTCTCCTCCAACAGCTAGAAACCACTGAGCTTGACATCCAATTATCAAGAATGATTTAAATATGAAGCCACCAGATGGCACAAATTGTTAACAACACATAAATCATACATCGTAAGTTACAAAAATAAGAGTGGATTTGTATCTTATCCCAGACACCAAAATAGCTAAGGCTCTGTCTCCAAGGACAACCCCTGGTCGATGCTGAAAGAGCACCTCAGATGAGAAAAGTCTGTACATCATTACATTCCTCCCTAAATATATTGGCTGTAAACTTCCCTAACCACTATTTTGGCTAGCAGAACCTTAACATTTTCATTACTGATTTCTGCTGTCCAAAACAAAGATTTGGCACTTCGGCTGATCAAACTGATATTCCTGGTGCACATAGTCTGACCATGAAATGTTACCAGTATTCACTATGATAATGCAATACACCTAGACAGAAATAGGCTTTGTTGAAAATTGTTTTGCAAAGTGTATATTACCAGTGGGGTTTGACTTCCATACCTGGAACTGTAATCAACAGGTAGCGTCCAATCTAAATATCCACCTGAAACAATACCCAAGGGAGTACTTTGTATCTGTAACTTCACTGCTTCTCATGATTCCTTTAGCTGCCTCACTGTATTTATCCTTAAAAGATAAGCTGAGGCATCAGGTCCTTCACAAAGTCTTACCCTGCTCAGTGTTGGCCATGGCACCTCATGCATACCTAAGTCACGGGATTTACCACAATTCAGTACAATTCAACAAGCACTGAATGAATGCCAATAAGACACTATTCTGGGCACCTGGGAAACATCAGTGAGCAAGTCAAAGATGCCTACTCTCATGAGGAAAAACAGATAATAAACAATAAATTGTAATAAATAAGTAAATTTTATAGTTATGTTATAGTGATAAATGCTATGGAAAAAGAAACCATGGAGTGGGTTAAGGAGGCTGGGGTGGACTAGGGTACAGAGGAAGGGTCAGGATACAGGATTAATAAGAGTAGCCAAGGTAGGCTTCAGTGAGAACATGAGTTTTGAGCAAAGACTAGAAGGAAGTGAGGAAATTAACTCT